AAAAAGATCAAATTTTCTCCTAAGAGGGATAATACAGTGAAAGACTTCAATGTGCGGAAGGTTATTTCCTGTTAATTGATGTCCTCCAGTGTTTTAATTGCTTTGACTTAAACAGTAATTACAAGAGCTTCCACCCTGTTTTGCCAAAAATTTCCTTTCATTATTCATGTTACTTTGTTACAGTAACACCCTGTAGGGCCTTACAAAGAACTTGTTAGAAAACTCTTGATCAACAGCATACCCCTAATAATAATGAAAGAGCGTTTGTCTGCAAGCAGTAAAAAACAGGGCCTGAGAAAAGAGGTTTTATCCATCCCTGTCTAAAATTGGAAAGCCATTGGGGTATTAATCTGGAAAACTGCCAGGGGTTGCAGACCAAGAAACGGGAAGCTACTCCTTTAAGCACACAAGAGTAAACAGTAGGTGGAGTCTTATCCCTGTGGGTGGAAATCTACCCCATGACTCTTATTTTGTTCCATCATCTCCCTTTCTCTGTGCAATTTTGCATCCCTTCCCTTGGCCTAAATACTAAAATGGGGGACACTAATAAAAAACTATCCCATGGAAACGTTGGGAGCACTAAATGATTTAATACATGTAAAGCAGTTTCAAAAATTGCTGACACATAATACATGTTCAATAATTCTTTTAAAAGCAAGAAGTGAACCTAATTTTAAGAGAGAAATAAAAAGCAGAGGAGAATGCCATTAAAGATTCACTTATTCTGCTTGAGTTCTTTGTAAGACCTCTAAAAGTTTATTATCCTTTTAGTGAATGCCATAGCATGCAAATATTGTTCTCCCAAAACATTCTGTAGGATTGTCTATTTTCTCTATTGATTGTTTCTGGGCTGTTGCAGAAGCTGTTTAATTCTAATCAAGATCCCATTTATTTATTTTTGTTTGGTTGCGGTGATTGATTGCCCTTTAAGGGTCCTTCTTCATAAATTTTTGCCTAGGCCAATATCCTAACAAGAAGTTTTTCCCAACCTATTCTTTCCTAAATTCTTATAGTTTCCATGCCTTAGGGTTTTTTTTTGTGTTTTTTTTGGCCATATTTTTATTTACTACATATCTATAAACATATATAATACATGCTACAAAAAAACCATTTTTTTTTAATTTAACTGTCAAGAAAAATGTATAAGTTTAGTAAATACAATGGCACATGTTCATATTTTATTTCAAAATTGGCGTTTGCTTATCACCCATTTCAAACCCAAATTAATAGTAAAATGTTACTTGTGGATAATTAAAAATTATCTATTTGCATTATTAAACAATAACAATTCCAACCAAAATTAATAAAAATTAAACCATGTCAAAATATTTAGTATCCAAAAAATATGGCTTTTGCAAAATGATTATATAATATAGCACCATTCAGTTTTACTGTGCTTTGTGACATGTACATCTATGCACCTCGAATAGGAAGTCTAGCATTTGCCTTTTTTTCCTGGAAAGAATACATTTTTTTTTTTTTTTTATTTTATAAGAAGTCCTTTGATTTCTTGAGGTCCAAAACTGCCACACCAGCCAAAATCCAACCTCCAACAGACAGTGTAAAATTTTTGTCTCTGACCAACTGATCATTGAGAAATTCTTATGATTTGGGTAGAGTTGCATGCCTTCCACTAAACATGGTGCAAGAGAGAAGACATCAGCAAAGCCAAATTCAAGTCAAAAGGCAAAAGAAAAATACAAAACATTCCAAATCAGTTGTGACCAAAAGTTTGTTCTACAAAATACTTTAGAATGCCATACTTTAAGAAAACAAAGATTTAATGTGTATGTTTGGATTTTACAGTAATCTCAATGCTCGTAACTGAAAGTTTAAACAAGTAAATTCGTCCAGATGACAATTCAGTCCTATTAGTACTGCAAATCTTTCATCAAATAATAATAAGCACCCACTAATGTGCATAGCACTGTGCTAATATGTTTGAAACTTGAATATTAATGTCTTATCAAAGCATTACCTTAGTGGGAGGTAAAAATAATATTAAATTACCGTCAAACTCATTAGTTTGCTTGTGGTAAATGTATGTAATCCATGCCAGCTGGCTTCCCTGTGCCATGTAACAAACTTTCTTCACTCCTCTCAAAATCTTGCTCACACATACATCTGCACAATCAACTGGTGGGCAATGTGCTAGTCACCTGGAACCATGATTTGGTATGTGTTCATTAGAATGCAAACTTATCATAATTAACTCAAATACAGGACAATTAGAAAGTACATTATTTTTCTAAGGCCGCAGGGCGGTCCCGCGCCGGGCCCGGCGCTTGCCGCGGCCCCGGGCCGACCCCCTTACTGGGGCGTCCCTTGCCGCCTGGGTGCTCCCCTGCGTGTCATGGGCCGCCCCTCCCGCCGCCTGCGGCGGGCGGCCCCCCCGGTGGGGCCCCGGGCGGGCGCCGCGCGGAGCCGTCCCCGGCGGGCGGGGCCTGGACCCGGGGGCGGCGTGGTTTGGCGGACTCGGCTGCGCCGGGCCGCCCCCGCCCCGTGGTGTCGCCGTTGGTTGGCAGGGCAGAGGGCTGCGGGGAAGAAAAAACAATCCTCTAAAAGTAGTGTTATCTCCAAAGAATTCTCCTAGGATTTGGAAATATCAGAATGACTCATACGACAGTTCCATGTTCCATCAAATGAGAAAGCATCTCACTGGTATATTCAGCGGTGCATGATTACTTCATGGGGTGGAAGGGAACAGTCTGTTGCCATTTGATAGTATAGTTTCAGAATGAAATAAACCACTGAATAAATCAGGGTAAGCAGTGGTGTACACTCCTCTCCTGGCTGTCATTTTCCACGGTTGATTTGCATTGCCTGAGAGAAAAGGGCAAGACACCTATTGCTTCTGATACACACAGGCATGGACCATCACACCTAAAATTGCCAATTCAGAAGTTAACACACAAGCCCTCCGGTTTCGTCCCTGAAAATAGGAATAAGCTAGGATCGGAGTAGTTCAGTCTACCAGCAGACGGACATGTGTGAATGGGAAGTGACCTCGTTTGCCATCACACTCCCCTTCCCACTGACCGCTCACATTGATCTTCGTAACCTTCACCAGCTCACCGACCTCCAATCGCAGCCGGCACTGAGGCGGAGGCGGGTCTACACTTCTCGACGTAAGGGATTGGAATCACCCCCTCTTGCCTTCGCTGTCCTCTGCATTCCACCACCGCTCTTGAGGCTCATCTCGGATGCTCGGGATGCCTCCTTTCTTAAAGGGAAGACCTTCTTCATCATTCCCATTAAAGTCAAAGAGGGCTCGCACATACTCTGCCTCCGCCTGCCCGAGAATCACTCCACTGCCCTGCCTGGATCTGGAAACTGGTTCTATCAACGTTGTAGTGTCCAAATAGTGTGTTTTGTAGGATTCCAGTAAATCAGGCAATGGATCAAACTCTCGATCTCCTATTCGGAGTCTGGAGGGGCTCACCGCGGGCGGAGACTGGGCGGGCGACGGGGGCACCGGCGGGCGCGGCCCGCTACTGCTGGTGATGTAGTGGGAGACGCGCGAGTCCTCGGAGACGCTGAGCACGTAGTCCCCGGGGCTGGTGCTCGAGTCCCGCACCAGGAACACCCCGTGCCGCTGGCCCTGCAACAGCACCACTGCCTCCTGCCGGCTCAACCGCCCCCCGTACCAGCTACTCCGCTCCTCCGAATGGAAGCTGCCCGCCATGGCCGCCTCTGCGCCTACACGCCGGGCCACCGCCCCCGCCGCGCGCCCCTCCAGCCCCGGCGCCCGCCGCCCGGCTGACCGGCTCGGTCTCAGCCTCACGGCAGTGCCCGAGATGGCCACGCCCATGCCTTAGGTTTAAGTCTGTTATCCATCATGAATAACTCCAGTGAGAATGGTTTTTATCAAAAAGTCCCCCAAATCAGATGTTGGCATGGATGCAAAGAGAAGGGAACACTCATACGCTGCTGGTGGGACTGCAAACTAGTACAACCTCTATGGAAAGCAGTAGGGAGATACCTCAAAGAGATACAAGTAGAACTACCATTTGATCCAGGAATCCCATTACTGGGTATTTACTCAAAGGAAAAAAAGACATTTTATAAAAAAAAAAAAAAAGACACTTGCACTCAAATATTTATAGCAGCACAATTTACAATTGCAAAGATGTGGAAATAACCCAAATGCCCATCAATACATGAGGGGATCAACAAAATGTGGTATATGTATACCATGGATTACTACATAGCCATAAAAAAATTGGTGAACTTATATTCTTTGTAACAACCTGGATGAAACTGGCAACCAGTCTTCTAAGCAAAGTACTGCAAGAATGGAAAATCAAACACCCAGTGTACTCACTATTATTAAACTGGAACTAATTGATCTACACTCATGTGCACACACAATAGTAAAACTCGGTGGAAACCAAGCAGGTGAGAGGGGGAGAAGGAAACGGGTAAATTCACACCTAATGGGTACAATGTGCGCTACCTTCATGATGGGCACACACATAGCTTTGACTCAAATGGCACAAAAGCAATTCATGCAACCAAAATATCTGTACCTCCATAATACTCTGAAATAAAAATAAATAAATATTCACTTATTCTGTTTTCTTTCCATCTACATTTCAATCCTTGCCAATTTCAGACAAGCGACTTAGCAACCAGTCTGTAAGTCTTCTTTTCTCAGATCAATATAATATACTTCAAGAAAGGACTTTCAGCTGGGCGCGGTGGCTCACGCCTGTAATCCTAGCACTCTGGGAGGCTGAGGCGGGCGGATTGCTCGAGGTCAGGAGTTCGAAACCAGCCTGAGCAAGAGCGAGACCCCGTCTCTACTATAAATAGAAAGAAATTAATTGCCCAACTAATATATATATAAAATTAGCTGGGCATGGTGGCGCATGCCTGTAGTCCCAGCTACTTGGGAGGCTGAGGCAGCAGGATTGCTTGAGCCCAGGAGTTTGAGGTTGCTGTGAGCTAGGCTGACGCCATGGCACTCACTCTAGCCTGGGCAACAAAGCGAGACTCTGTCTCAAAAAAAAAAAAAAAAAAGAAAGGACTTTCATTACACCATTTGGTCCTGTGCTCATTCCTGGACTAGCTATTTTGACTGCAGATGGGGATCTATGATTAGCCAAGCAGCCCAGTTTATACCTGTTACCTCAGCATAATGATTAATAGAGTACGCTTCCACCCTCTGAAGTTTCCCAATCTCCATAGCATTACCTATATAGTATTCTTGCCAAACAGTTTAATCTGGAGCTAATTATACAGGAGCAACCAGAAAAATCCAGCCTGTGGGACATTCTGTTACACAGCCATCACGAATGTCAATGTCATTAAATGATATTAAAAAGGAGACTAAAAGACTAAAAAGCATAATAACCAACCAAAACACATGATTCTGGGGATGGGAGAAGACCTAAAAAGAGCATTTGGGGAATAGCTGGGTCTGATGGCATCATTGTACTTACGTAGAAGAACATCTTTTGTCGCTGTGAGATGACACAGGCTGAAGGATTTAAGGGAAAGGTGCAATAATGTCTGCATCTTGCTTTCAAATGAATCCAAAGGAGGAATCTACCAATAGAGAAAGAGATAAAGAGCAAATGTCACAAACCATTGACAGTGTTTGACCTGGCTAATTCAACAGATTGTATTTATTGTTTTACTCTTTTCATGCTTCCGTACACTTGAGATTTTTTCAAAATAAAAAGTTGGAGGGGAAGTGATCCCATTTGAATAATAAATGATAAGTCAGTCTATGAGCGGAAGAGCTTGGGTTGGTTGTCTACTCATTGCTTGGCAAGGCAGGAAAGTCATATAAAAATGTGACTGGTCCCATTCATAATGAATGTCTAAAATACGGGGAAGAAGAACAAACTCCCAAAGAATCTGAAACCAAGGAAGAATCACTGTGCATCAGGCAGTCACCAATTTATGTGCTGTAACATGCAAATTACCTCTAGTCCAAATGCACTTGTTCTTAATTTCCATTTATGAGAAGGAACAAGAGGAGCCATTATCCTCTTAGCAAAGGAAATGCCTTTTTCTCAGTTACTTCCCTGAAATTGCCACCGTTCCTTGCATGTACCTAATGGTCAGAAAATCTTCACTAAGTGAGGCTTAGGAATTCTTCCAATTATGGTCCTGAAATCTGAGCCCCACCTAACCCGAAAACTATTGTTAGTTATCTCTCATTGCTATGATTTCTCTAGAGCCTCCCCTTCCAACCAAAGGCTCTCAGAACCTGCAAATTTTCCTGATGCAAAGATTATTTTTTAACATTCAATAAACTTAGACAATGACCACTATTCTTTATTTCATAATTTTGCAAGGTATTTGAGAACTAAGGCCATAAATGGAAATCGGAGCTTGAATCTCAAATCTCCCATTTCTAAAATGTCACTTTGGGCAAGTTATTTTTCACTGGTCTGAACCTCAGTTTCATCATCTGTAAAAGGAGAATAGTCCCACCTGCTTTTCTGGCTTGTTGTAAAGTATTGGAAACAAACGAGGTAAAATCTGTAACAGGTGTTTCTGTAAATGGGAATGATGATGATGGTGACCCATCTCCTGCCTTCAGGGAGCTCACAATCTAGTAACCTGTCCCTTCTCACCCATGTTGCTCCTTACTCCAACTATTAGAACTTTTATCCAGAACAAATCAGTGTTCCTTAGATGGGTAAGTACAACATAAATATCTAGGCTTTTGATGCCTGAGGCAACCTAACTGCACAGCATCTTATTTTCTTTTGCACTTTTTTTTTTTTTTGACAGAGTCTCATTCTGTCACCCTGGCTAGAGTGCCGTGGTGTCAGCCTAGCTCACAGCAACCTCAAACTCCTGGGCTCAAGTGATCTTCCTGCCTCAGCCTCCCGAGTAGCTGGAACTACAAGCATGTGCCACCATGCCCGGCTAATTTTTTCTATATATAGATTTTTTAGTTTTCCAGGTTATTTCTTTCTATTTTTTTTAGTGGAGACGGGGGTCTCGCTCTTGCATAGGCTGGTTTCGAACTCCTGACCTTGAGCGATCCACCTGTCTCAGCCTCCCAGAGTGCTAGGATTACAGGCGTGAGCCATTGCACCCAGACTTCTTTTGCATCTTGTTTTGATTTTTAAACATACCCTAATCCAAATTCATTAGAGGGCATCAAGTTCTTTTTAAAAAAAAAAAAAAAAGTCAGTACAGGCCTTTCTATATAAAATATTACTTTTTCTTTGCACAAAAATAAGTAATATTTTCTCAAATTAACTTGGATTTTCTCTACCATTAGTTATATCTGCATGTTTTTGTGACTAAGTAAGACTATATTAGAGAGTAATACGTCCCCAATAAAGCAGAAGACACCAGCTGGTGTATTATCTACTGAAAATCCATTTTTTTCTAGATGGTAGAATCTTTGTTAGCAGTAAATATGTCATACATGGAAAGAATGTAATTAAGCTATCTGATAGGAGGTTTGGATTCACAGAATTAGAAGAAAAATTATTTTGGCTAGGAAATTTAAAAAGCAAGACTTCAATATCAGTGCATGAAACAATCTGGAATACTGAAAGCCGTTGATGAATTGTTCTGAATTGAATATGGGGATTTCAAATATAGATTTGGAACTAGTCAAGGCCAAAGAACACAATTTATTCATCTTCATACCATAGATATTTTAATACAGAGGCAAACAGGCTAAAACAGGTGACCAATAAATTATGAATGATCTATGAACAAATAAATGAATATAAAGCTGGAACCACTTTTAATAGGCATTCAGAACCATAATATTTCAAAAAATTTAGTAGAATCTCGGTTATGTTGAAAACATCTACTATTTAACCACTTTAAGAGAGCCATATATTCTCATACATGTTCAAGAGTAACCCTGTATATAGGGGGCTGCCAATATAATATGGTTTCAGGAACCCCAGAGGCCAATATAGTTTTGAATATGATTTTAAATAACTAAATTTCCTTTTAAGTTTCCATTGTAAAGAATTATTTTACTTAATGCCACTAGACAAAGAACCCAAAATTTACAAAGGCAGATAATGGCAAAGACTCTTTAAGCGGGTAGGTATTAACTCCTTTCCCCCTCTCTCAACCCCTTAATACCTGGGTAAAAATGAGAGAGAGAAGAAGGTTGCTGCACATGGCCATGAAGTGCTAACAGAAGACTGTTGAGACAGCCACACACATCAGTTTTTTGCCTGAGCCTCACAAGAGGTGCAACCTGGGGAGCTGACCGTAGCTGGAGTAGCTTGCGCAAACTATTTTCCAACTCAATTCAATGTACGTTTTACATGAGACACTGATGAGACATCTGCTGAGGCGATTGGTCCCAGTTTTTGAACCCGTCTCCTAAGATATGAACTCTAGTTCCCCCACTTGTCCAGAGAATCAATCTCTCTACCAGCATTTTCTGTACTCTGGGTCCCCTACCTTGTCTAATTATTCTTCCTCAGTAGTACAGAAAGTTTTCCTCTGGCTGCCATCTCAATATCAGCTCCAGTTATCTATTGCTACATAACAAACTGCCCTATAGTTTAAAACAGTTATGACCATTTAATTGTTCACAGTTGTGCAACTTGAGCAGTGCTCAGCAGACAGGACTTCATCTCTGCTGAAGGTGATGTCAGCAGGAGCTCTAACTAGGACTCAAGAATCCAAGATGGCTTCACTCACACGCCTGGCACCTCAGCCAAGGTGTAGTGCGTAGAGGCTGACTACACCTAGTCTTTTGCACGTGTCTTCCATGGTAGTGCTAATTCCTTACCCAGCAGCCCAGGAATTCAAGACAGCAGCAGAGACTGCAGTACAACCT